TCTATTTCCAAGGGCTAAACCCTAAACCCTAAACCCTAAACCCTAAACCCTAGAGCCTAAACCCTGGAGCCTAGACTGTAACAACCTTAACCCTATCCCCTAACCTGTAACCCATAGTCCGTAACCCTTAAGCCCTAAACCCTAAACCCTAAACCCTAAACCCTCGAGGCGTGCCTTTGGTGAGTGAGTCTTTTAACTTTAGTATGCGGGTCCTCTCTGATCCAAGAGCATTTCTTTCGTCTGCTGCTGCTTGAAGCTGTCTCTTTAATTCTTCTGTCTCCTTCTCTGCTGCTGCTGCTGTCTCCCTCAAAGCAGCAGTGCGCAGCAAGAACTGCGTCTCTGCTGCAGCTTCCGAAGCCCTCAGCTCCCCCTGCAGCAGCAGCAAAACAGCAGCAAAACAGCAGCAGCAGCAGCAAGTGCAGCAGCAGCAGCAGCAGCAGATGCAGCAGCAGCAGATGCAGCAGCAGCAGAAACACCGCCAGAAGCAAATTCGCTTGCAGGTCAAAGTCGCAGGCATATCGAACTCCCGTCAGCAGCAGCAACACTAACAGCAGCAGCAGCAACAGCAGCAGCAACACTAACAGCACCAGCAACACTAACAGCAGCAGCAACACTAACAGCAGCAGCAGCAACAGCAGCAGCAACACTAACAGCAGCAGCAGCACCACCACCAACAGCAGCAGCAACAGCACCACCAACAGCAGCAGCAGCAACACTAACAGCAGCAGCAACAGCAGCAGCAGCAACAGCAGCAGCATACCACTTGCTCTCCAAGGCATTCTGTTCTGGCTTCTGCATGCAGCAATTCGTCACGGAGTTGCTGCGTCTCTGCAGCAAACCGCTGCCTCTCCTCCTCAACTAAACGCCGAGCATCAGCAAGCTCAAGAGACACTCGAGACTGCAGCAGCAGCAGCAGCAGCAGCAGCAGCAGCAGCAGAAGCAGAAGCAGTACTGGGGGTTTGGGCCTTGAAAAGAAGTGGCATTTGAGAGGGTTTAGGGCTTGGGAGCGTTTAGGAGTTAGGGTTTAGGGTTTAGGGTTTAGGAGGGTCTAGGCTCTAAGCTAGGGTTTAGGGTTTAGGGTTTAGGGTTTACTTTGCATATATGGGCCTCTTCGACTTCTGCTCGCAGCCGCTTTATCTCCGACGCCATTTCTTTTGTCTCCTCCTCCTCTTGCTGCATCGTAAACCCTAAACCCTAAACCCTAAACCCTAAACCCTAAGCCCTAATCCCTAAACCCTAATCCCTAAACCCCCCAGTGGGCTAGTTGGCGTTCGCGCCCCGTACAGGCAGAGTTTTAGATGTTAGGGTTTAGGGTTTAGGACGTGGAGATCCTTAAGCGCTAGGCTATTCAAGTTAGGGTTTAGGGTTTAGGGTTTAGGAACCTTTACAGCCTCTCGCAAGCGCTGCTGCAGCGCTTCTTTTTCTTTCACAAGGATATCAACTTTGCGCTGCAGCAGCCGCTGCACGTGACTCTCTGGGCCCTGCATGCAAACCCTAAACCCTAAACCCTAAACCCTAAACCCTAAACCCTAAACCCTGAAAGCAGGCGTGTCCAGGTTGGAGCTGCAGCAGCTGCAGCAGCAGCGGTGAGATAAACCCTAAACCCTAAACCCTAGAGACTGCA